TCAATTTATAAAAACCCCAAAGACGGATTATCAAAAAAATAAAAGAAACCCTAATTTGTCCATGAACCCTAATTTCATAAAATTGAAAAAAAAACTTGATTTCAATTTCGAATTTTAGATCCTATAATCTAATGTGTTTTGCTTTGATACCACATGTTAGAAAACTATTCAATCAATAATAAACCAACCTTATGAAAGAAATCAATCTTTAGTATTGATATCCCAAAACTTGAACACATAAAGTATAGAATACTAAATTAATCATTAAGAATTTGAGACAAACCTGATTAGATTATTGTTTTTGAATGTTGAGAAGCAGCATTTTTCCTTTCACTGTTACAAAGAGCATAGGTCTTCCTTCCCAATAACGCACACTTTATCACGACTAACAAATGGGTTAAGTTGTGTCGATTACGTTTGGAAAGGGGACCTAGTCAATTTATATTAGTCTATTGGGCCCGTCCATTAAAGGCCTAATAAACCCTAAAGCTCATTATAGCCCCAAGCCCACACTAGTCATAAAACTCAAATTATTGAAAATGGAAATGTTATGGGCAAATTCTGGAATGATCACATAAGCCCATTAGGATATCTCATTGAACTATATATTTGCTCGGTTTTGATTAAATCAAAAAATAATTCATGTTAGCCCATAATTAGGAAATTTTCTAACAGAAGAGTTTTTTTTTTTTTTTTAGGAAGAATTGAAAAGAGATGCAGAATTGCAGATGGAGAGAGATGTTAGGAAGCGTCGAACGTCAAAGAGATAGAGAGATGCAGATGGAGAGAGATGTTACGAATGAGCTAGGGATTAAAGCTTTTGGTTTTGGGTAAAATTGCTTTTTTTTTTTTTTTTTTGAATTTCTGTGGTACTTGTGGTTTTACCTGACTCACCCACCAAGAAAGGGTTAGGGCCGGGTACGGGTAAAAAAAATACGAATCCAAATTTATAGGTCGCGAGTACAAGTCTAGTTTGCTAGTTCTACTACTACTACTGATAACAAACAGATTCCATGGGAGTGTGCAGGCTATGTCTATATGTTTCTTTATTCTTGTTTCTTTCTCCTTTTTAGGGTATGACCACATGGATCGATACCTACATATTCTACTAAAGATTTATTGAAATTTAGTGTTACACTCATTGGCTATGTGTATCTTCAAAAAGGAATTGATTGATAATTCCCCTAACAATTATACCCTATTTTAACGAGAGAAATGCTGGACAAAATAGTTTGGTCATTAAAGGGAGAACGACATTTTCCCACCCAAGTTTGGTAGAACGACACTTTCCCACCCGTCAAGTTCAAAACGACACTTTCCCCCCCTTATTAATCCATCCGTCAAGTTAACTAAAGCATGATATATATATAATTCAAAAAATAGTTTAAGGGTAATTATATCATTTTATCCTTGTATATAAAATTAGAAAAAAAATACCAATCGCCTGCGATTCGGTCAAAATCTTGAACTGATAAGAAAGGGAGAGGAGAATACAAAATTGAAAAAGAGCCAGAAACCTTTATCATTAAGGTAACACTAATTTAAACTACAAACCTGTATGAAACTTAAAAAAGAAAAAGAAAAAAAGATGCATCATCCTCACTTTAATTTACAAAATGCCCAAACGTTTCAAAACTTGGGTCTTCAAAAGGGCTCTATCTGTGTGCTATGTGTTTCTTTCTTTTCCCGTGTATAATACAATAAACAATTTTTTTTTTTTTTTTACCATAAACCTCACTAGAGGAAAAAAAAAAAAAAAACCAAGTAAAATCCCAACTACTCCGCAAGCTTTGATAGATAATTAGAACTGTGAAATGCATCGTCTATGGCAAGCAATGGTTTTCTTTTTTTGCTGTTTAGTTTCTTGTTTCTAGACCTTGCCAATGTCTTGTGCTATTCTGACGGCATCAGAGGATGCACCAGAGAGAACCCTCTCCTTGTGAACCCAACTGCATAGAGACTGGCATTTCCTTTCCACCCACTCCTTTGGGAATCCATTCATTGAGGCTGAGTGCGATTCTGACCTAATTGCATCCGGCCAACTATTTTTTTTCTTCAGTTTTTTTTTTTTTTTTTTTTTTTTTTGGTAATGTGTTGGTTTGGGTAAGGGTGATGATGTTGTGTGTTGATTTGGGTAAGGGTGGAGATTTTGTGTGCTGATTTGTGTGAGAAGATTGTGGTGAGAACTGAGAAGGGAAGGGGGAGAGAAAGAGAAGGAGAAAAAAGAGAGCAAAAGAAAGAAGAAAGGTGAAAAAGAAGAAAAGAGTATTTTCATCTTTACACTATTTATATTATGTTAGTGAACGGATTTTCCTAACGGAATATAACGTTGAGTGAGAAAGTATCATTTTAAAAGTTGATGGATGGGAAAAGTATCATTTTGAAACTTGATGGGTAAGAAAATATCGTTTCACCCAAACTTGGGTGGGAAAATGTCATTCTCCCTTACTAAAATGTCTAACAAATACTTAGGCTCCGTTTGTTTCGTTTTTGGGAATACTATTATTAGTATTCCCAAAAAAGTTAAATAGTACAATTGCAAAAACTCACAATATTATCCAATATTATTCAACTTTTTTTAAACCCCCTAAATTTGTTAATTTAATTAAATAACCCTAAATATTTTTTTCGAAATTGCAAAAACACCCCTAAACCCACATTATACCAGATTCCGGCCACTACTGCTAGAAGTTGGCCGGAATCTGATATAATGGCGCACTACCGACTGAATCTGGCCGGTAGTGCGCCGATCTAGCTTTTTCCGGTCAGATCCACAGTGGATCTGGCTGGAAAAGGCCAGATCTAAGGCCAAAGATCTTGCCGTTGATGGCCAGATCTTTGGTCGTAACCAGATGTCAATGACGGCCAACATATGGTCGTCGTTGACCATCAACAACCGTCGTTGATGAGCAAATGCGGTCAGATCTAGCCGTAGATCTAGCCTTTGCCAACCAGATCCACAGCGCACGACCGGCAAGATCCAGCCGGTCATGCGCCGATATGACGACTCCGGCCCACCTCCGACGGTGGTGGCTGGCTGTAATTACTCAATGGGTGGGTTGGGGGTGTTTTTGTTAACTTTTAAAGTTTTATTATGGGGGTGTTTAGTAAATAAACAAACATAAGAGGTATTTTTATTAATTTCTAAATCTTACATTGTAATACCCGCCCAATTCAACTTTTTTTTTTAACTTTTTTCAAAAAAAATTTCTAAAAAATGAAAAAAGGTGAACCAAACGAAGCCTTAGTTTGTGGCCATATTACCAAAAAGAAGATTGTGAAAAAGAAAAATAATATCTACTTGGTCGTTAATTAAATTTATGAGGTCAAGATGACTTAATATCTAACCACATATTTACTTATTATCTTATAATCCAACACTGCAGGAAGTAGGTACCATTATTTAATGATATCCCCCTTTTTTTCTTTTAAGTTCTTTGTTAAATAGATGACTGTTTTATAGGTTATTTGAAAAAAATGTTATTCTGAAAAACTATCTGAATATGATAAGATATGATTAAATTGAATAGAATAAGACTCTGAGGATGTGTTTGGTATAATATCTGAAAATTATATCAGAGTTGAATAAAAATTAGAATAGATGTTTGGTACATTTTCGGAAAACATTTTCTAAAAATATTTAGAATCTTTTTTAATCCCATACATTTGTTAATTTAGCTAAACACCCCCCACAATGAAATTTTATTAACTAACAAAAACACCCCCATCCACCCAAAAATAGTCGGCAGCCGGTCACCATTGTCGGACGGCAGCTGACAATCATCGAAATGGTGCACGATTGGATGGATTTAGCTGGTTGTACGTCAATCTGGCCAGAAAATGTCAGATCTACAACCAGAATCTGGTTGTAGATTTGGCTGGAAACGGCCACATTGGTGCACGACCAATTAGATCCGTCCGGTCGTGCGTCGTTTTGGCGTTAGCGGCCCACCGGTGGCCAGTGGTTGGTAGCGGCTGGCAGTGGCTTAGATGGGTGATGGTGTTTTTGTTAATTTTTAAACTTTTAATGGAAATTGTAATTGTTTTTAGTTGAATAGAGTTGGAAAAATATTAAAATATGATAATAGAAAACAAGTCCCATCCACTTTTCATTTTCAATAGAAAAAATCTTATTTGATTCAGATTGATTTTCAAAATAATGATTTCAATAAGTAAACAATCATATATTCTGTTTTTTAATCCAAATAAGATAACAGAAAAATGATTGAGAAGAGTAAAATAAATTGGAGTATAATCTCTCAAACTCTAAATTCTTCTTCTCCTTTTTTGTTTTATTTTTGCCTTTTATTATAACTTTATATTGATCAATTTTCAGATGATTAAATAATTTGAGTTCTGTTGACATTTTGCTACACAATTTGTTTTTTTTTTTTTTCATTAATTAAAATTATTTTAATAGTAAAATGTAATTGTAAACTAAGCTATATATTTCGAGATTATATCATGTTAATATGTTTGATAAAACAGTCTAAGTTTTTTAATAAATATTTCATTGGATTTGATTAATTGGTAAGTGATTTTAGGACTTAACTCCTCAAGATATATATATATATATATACACAAATGTTTTCACGATTCTTTTAACCTCTCTACAAATTATCAAAGACTATTCTCTAATGTCACACACTGTATTTTAAGTATTTTTATTCCTGTGATTTGTATAAAATGGTGATTATAAAAATTTTTTATGATTAATGTTAAATCTACAACCTAATGTCAGTTTTTAAATGAGTTTCGTTTGTTTTTTACGTGTTTCTTTTTCTTATTTATAAATTGATTAATTACGAATTACCATATTGAGATTATAAGAGAAGGTTGTGGATGCAATATTACTGTGTTTTTATATATAAAAAAAATGGTTTCTCTAATTTTTACAACTCCTTCCTCCTAAGCAATAAAACAACATATATTAAAAATAAAAAATAAAACTTATTGAACACGTGACCATGGTTTTCCATTGCCATTATTATGTTCTGTTCTCACTTCCCGTTGACATACCTTTCCCTACGGCTTCGTTTTTACACACACAGACCTATCTCGGTTCAAACCCTACGAAGACTAAGTGGAGACTTCCACTTTGATCGCCTGATAACACGTCAAATTCCGTTAATTCTGTATCGAAGACGTCGAATTCCCGCGATAATGCCGTCGAAAAGTTCGGAACGGCTGCCCGCCGGATGGACCGTCCGGTTCAAAGCTCAGAAGAACGGGCGCAAAATTAAGGTAAAATCAAACTCGAATTTTCTGGCTTTTTATTCTTATAAGTTTTGCAAACTTGTAATTTACTCCTTGTTTAGTTATTACTTGATTGGTCTGAGGAAGTGAAATTGTATATTAGTTGCATGTGGATTGAAGTTTGTCGAATGTTAGTGTTTTGGTGCCTGCATGAAGGAACCCAGTGTTGTACTAGAAATTCTTTGTGTTGATTTGATCAGTTTGTTCGTTAGAAGGGAGGGAAATTGAGTGGTAAGGAAAAGGATAGTGAGGAAGCCATTTTCCGTATGGTTGCAAAGATATTAATTTGAGAGATTTAAAAAATAAGAGGCATTAAGGAGAAAGTTTATGTTTCTACTTTTGTCTCTGGTGTTATAGCTGTTGATAAATATGTCAAATTTAAACACGTAAAAGTGTAATTATCGTGTAATGATCTGTTTATATGTCATATTCGTCCAAATATATGGATGGAATGATGACTCTTCTGCCTATCTTTCTTTTCTTGTTCCATATATCGTTTCTCTTCCTCTGAACCAAACATTAGTAATAGTGAAATCGCTTTTGATGTGGGAATAAAGTTGATAATAGCTCATGAAAAATTTAGGAATTTTGGACATTTGTATGACGATAAGTTCTTTTGTTTGTTATTAAGGACTATTAAAGTGAGAGGTTAAAAAGGAGTGTGTTGTTGTGGTGCGGAAATTAATGCAAAATACTTTGCCCGTAATGGAAATGAATTATTTTTATTTTTCTGAAAGTAGTCAAAGGCCTGAGTTTTGAATAGAAAACGTTAACTTTTGCGTTAGTAGTTATTTTTTGTGATGATAAATATCTTTTGCTTTTATTGGAAATTTTATTGGCAGTGCTGTCATTGTTCTAAAAATGGTAAAAAGGTTTTTAGTAATATAGAAAGTGAAGGAAAAATGATGTCGCTGGTAACCCCGAGGAATGGAACAAGCTATATTGAGCTGAGTGCTTTTGAATTTGCTGTGTTTCTAATATTTATGAATTTCTGTAAGTGGAAAAACTATTACCATTTTACTCATATTATTAAATCTTTTATTAATTAATTGTTCAGACTGTCATTGGCTGCTATCAAAACTAGTTAAATGCATTGCCTGTAGGTTTTTGCCTCACTTGGTTTATTGCACTGGGCTTAAACTTTAAACTTTTCGGGTTTAAATTTTTTGTGTATTTGTTTATTTAAAGCTTGGGTTAGCTAGTGCATATACTTGTTTGGTAGTAGGAGTTGGCTAAGTGTAAGCATTATTCACAAGGTCCATGGAAATTTATCAATTGCAAATAAACTTTATTAGGTACTACGCCACTATTGAGAACTTAAGTCATACACTTTGCACAAAGCACCTGTAAATTTTTTTTCTTTCTTCACAGTTTGATATCTTCTATATTTTGAGAACATTATCTTATCTGTTTTCTTGAAGCTGATTTTCCTTTTTGATAACTTGCACTCTCCTGTTGATTTTTTGAGAAGGTGTGTATCAGTTGCAGCAGCTTAAAAATTTTATGACTAATTTGGTGCAGTTAATTATGGTTTTCTCCCATTATACTTTGTCTTTTTGACAGTGGAATTAAGCAATAGAAGTTAGAACTATAAGTTAGCATGAACATGCATTAAGGTAAATAATTGAATAAAGAAAAAGAAGTGAGATGGAACTTACTGAATTATAATATGGGTAACTTTTGAATTAAGTTATCCATTCATAACGTTGTTACTAAGCTTATAATTTATTTGGCTTTTGTAGTGTTACATGAATCGGGGAACTGGTCAAACATTCTTTTCCAAAGAGGATTTGCTTCGATATGTTAAAGTGGAAAGAACTCTTCATGAGCCTAAACCTTCTATCAGCAGCAGCAGAAGGCCCTCAGAAAATAGTGATAGTAAAGTGAGAATTCCTAAACCTAATAGTGACTGCAGCCAAAGGCACTCAGAAAATAGTGATATTAAAGTGAAAATTCCTAAACCTATTAGTGACTGTAGCAGAAGGCACTCAGAAAATAGTAATATTAAAGTGAGTTCGAAATCCCCACTTAATCCTTCCTCACATTTTTTGATTAGTTTGATTTAACTGTTCTTGATTTAATTTTTGCATACAGCCTGTGGCAAATGAAAATGAACATCCTGACTGGTTACCTGATGGCTGGGTTGTGGACTTGAAAACCCGAAAGAGTGGTGTCCTTATCGGAAGACCATACAAGGTATTACATGTATCTTTTGTCATTCTTTTTGTATTTGTTTTACTATCTTATTAAAGAAAAAAAAAAAAAAAAAAAAAAAAAAAAAGAAAAAAAAGAGAAAAGAAATATGTATTACCATCTTTTATGTTATTTTTCTGTTTATCACCTTTGTTACTTGCATTTCAACAGCCGACCATTTCTCTTTTTACCCTCTTTTGTTTTCCTGGTGAAGTCTCAGTTGATGTTGGTTGCTGTTAGCTACAACTTAATATGCATATGTTAGTACTTTACTTTGTGTCATTTAAGTACTATTGGTGATAGTTCTTTATCCCAAAATGTTGGTGAGATTTTTGTGGTGCATTGCATGGTCAAAGATGATTTGATATCTTCTATGAAGTAAATGCTTGAAAACTCTTGGAAGGGTATTTTATTTTTAAATAGAATAGCTGTGGGCATGGTTGTGGTGAATTTTTGCTCTTCAATTTTATAAAAGATTCTCCTAAATTTGTTAGTCTGTCTAACTCTTTTAGTATTCTTTAAGTAAAATATATTCTATTGATAACATCAATTTTCTTTTAGGAAACCAATTCTTCTTCATTTTTTTTTGGTTAAGTGCTTTTCTTACAATGGTCAGGGTTAATAAAGATTTTGGTCTATTTGATAACTTGATATATTTTCTAAGATAGTATCTGTTCTCAAACTCTAGAGAACCGTTCTAACTATTTCACCGTAGTAACTTCTTCTCATATAACAGCTTTCTTGTTGCAGATTTACACTGATCCATTGACAGGGTGTAAATTCTTTTCAAAACCAGAGGTGCTCCGTTATCTGGAATCTGCAAAGCGCAAAAATTGCTCATCAAAGCAGAAGGAAACATGCAATCTTGAATCTGCAAAGCGCAAAAGTTGCTCATCAAAGCGGAAGGAAACATGCAATCTTGAATCTGCAAAGCGCAAAAGTTGCTCATCAAAGTGGAAGGAAACACGCAATCTTGAATCTGCAAAGCGCAGAAGTTGCTCATCTAAGCGGAAGGAAACACGCAAAAAGATGTGTTCTGCTAGCAAAGTTTGTTTTGAATTTTCTCATATAATAATTTTTTTATTTGCTTTATTATGGGAATGTTTGGTGTTTTATATACTTCATAGCATCACTTAGTTGACCACTTTTAGAATTGCTAGATTTTAATTTATTTGTGTACTCTATGAAGCCGTTCACTCAATGGTTGTGATTGGTAGACACTATGGTTTTTCTTTATTAAAAGACCTAACGCTATAACAAACTAAACCCTTTTGTTACTATCCTTGTAGCACATCTCTAAATGGCCCATAAAGAAATAATTTTCAGTTCATATAATAAGGTAGCTCTCAAATTGCCAATAATCTCATATTCTCAAATTGAAATATCTTCAGCCACTATCCTGCTAACAAACTGGTTCTATGCTTCGCCATATTATTGAAGTTGCATTATAAAATGTAATTCCTGCAGATATATTTTTAAGGAGTACAGATAACTTCTTGATGCCATCTACCAAAGTGTTTTCTATAAATCTTGCTAAAAATTAGGAAGAGTAACCTAACTTTTGGAATGTTAGTGTGGAATTGACTGACAAGGGATAATATATTTAGAATAAAATAGAGAAAAAGTAGAATGTTGAGTCGGTTTGGTTGAATAATTAGGTTGAGGATTCCTTTCAAAATAATGACCTTCAAGATAAAATTTTTCTGTGTTCTTGTGTATCTACATGCTTTTTTGATGCTTTCTATTTATAAGTTAAATAGATGTTATATCCAGTTGACGCCGTAGCTGTGTAAATATCTCAAAACTTAAAAATGCACAACATTGTTGTAGTTAAATATAAACCAGATGGCAATGGCACATTGTGTTATAAGACGTATTTATTTATGGGGTTAAGAAGTTATGGGATCATTAAATTCTTAATTTATGAATTAGATGTTTGTTATTATTATTAATTTTTTTTTTTTTTTTATCAATATGTAACTCTGATTATCTGTAAAAATCTAGGTTGTGGTTGAGAAATCTACAGTGGATGATTTACCACCAGGGTGGATTAAGGAAACAAAAATTAGAAAGAATGCATTTGGAGTGAGAAGAGATCCGGTATGGAGCTTCTTTTTGAACTCTTGCCTTACTTACAGTGCCCCTCTGCTTATCTATCTCATTTGTTGTGTGTGGCTCATGTCTTGATTCCTTTTAGTATGTGTTTATTTTGATCAGTGCTTCCTTGCTGCAGTATTACACAGATCCAGTTAGTGGATATGTGTTCCGCTCCAAAAAGGATGTATTCCGCTATCTAGAAACTGGAGAGATTAGTAGACATGCATTTAAACCAGCAAAAAGGGATGCTCATGATCTAGAAGCCTTGGTACGTGTGCAACTATTTTTATAATTTCATATAATGCATCAGTATTATAATCTTTGCTTCCTATTGCATACCATATCTCTGATGTCATTAAGCTTGCATAATTACGTTTAGGTCATTTAGGTAATTGCAAGAAGCATTCTGTCATCTATTGAATGCTGGGAGTATTGAGAAACTAGGCTTGGATATTGATAGGAACCCACTCCAATAACTCAACAATGTGGGCTGGGCTATGGGTCTTTCATGGGCTTGGGTAGAACTCTCCTTGGAAAACCGGTTTGCCAAGGGAGAGTGCCCAAGCCTTTATAACAATCTACATGCCCACCTTTTTCCCTTTCAATGTGGGATCCTAACATTCCATCACGCTTCCGCAACCGACGTCCACGTCGGCCTCTTTACCTCTTGGGTGACTACGCGGATCCCTTTTCCCTCGGGCTTTCATGCCCTTTCTCGGGGTAGCAGCCCGGGCCCAAGGTCAGCCTGTCACTGGTCAGCCTGCCACGTGCGCTGCCACATAGGCGTAGGATTATGCTTTGATACCAATTGATAGGAACCCACTCCAATAACTCAACAATGTGGGTTAGGCCATGGATCTTTCATGGGCTTGGGTAGAACTCTCCTTGGAAAACTGGCTTGCCAAGGGAGGGTGCTTAAGCCTTTATAACCCACATGCCCGCCCTTTTCCCTTTCAATGTGGGATCCTAACATTCCACCACGCTTCCGCAACCAACATCCACGTCGGCCTCTTTACCCTTTGGGTGACTACGCGGATCCCCTTTTCCCTTGGGCCTCCATGCCCTTTCTCGGGGTAGCAGCCCGGGCCCAAGGTCAGCCTGCCATGGGTCAGCCTGCCACGTGCGCTGCTACATAGGCGCAGGATTATGCTTTGATATCAATTGGTAAGAACCCACTCCAATAACTCAACAATGTGGGCTGGGCCATGGGTCTTTCATGGGTTTGGGTAAAACTCTCCTTGGAAAACCGGCTTGCCAAGGGAGGGTGCCCAAGCCTTTATAACCCACATGCCCACCCTTTTCCCTTTCAATGTGGGATCCTAACAGATATTAGGGTTTATTCCCAGCTATTCATGCATACGATTATAGCACTCATTAAATTATCATGCTGATGTTAGAGGATAGGTTATTATGCTTAATCTACATTAATCAATCAAACTGCTTGGTGGCTGNGCAATCTTGAATCTGCAAAGCGCAGAAGTTGCTCATCTAAGCGGAAGGAAACACGCAAAAAGATGTGTTCTGCTAGCAAAGTTTGTTTTGAATTTTCTCATATAATAATTTTTTTATTTGCTTTGTTATGGGAGTGTTTGGTGTTTTATATACTTCATAGCATCACTTAGTTGACCACTTTTAGAATTGCTAGATTTTAATTTATTTGCATACTCTATGAAGCCTTTCACTCAATGGTTGTGATTAGTAGACACTATGGTTTTTCTTTATTAAAAGACCTAACGCTATAACAAACTAAACCCTTTTGTTACTATCCTTGTAGCACATCTCTAAATGGCCCATAAAGAAATAATTTTCAGTTCATATAATAAGGTAGCTCTCAAATTGCCAATAATCTCATATTCTCAAATTGAAATATCTTCAGCCACTATCCTGCTAACAAACTGGTTCTATGCTTCGCCATATTATTGAAGTTGCATTATAAAATGTAATTCCTGCAGATATATTTTTAAGGAGTACAGATAACTTCTTGATGCCATCTACCAAAGTGTTTTCTATAAATCTTGCTAAAAATTAGGAAGAGTAACCTAACTTTTGGAATGTTAGTGTGGAATTGACTGACAAGGGATAATATATTTAGAATAAAATAGAGAAAAAGTAGAATGTTGAGTCGGTTTGGTTGAATAATTAGGTTGAGGATTCCTTTCAAAATAATGACCTTCAAGATAAAATTTTTCTGTGTTCTTGTGTATCTACATGCTTTTTTGATGCTTTCTATTTATAAGTTAAATAGATGTTATATCCAGTTGACGCCGTAGCTGTGTAAATATCTCAAAACTTAAAAATGCACAACATTGTTGTATTTAAATATAAACCAGATGGCAATGGCACATTGTGTTATAAGACGTATTTATTTATGGGGTTAAGAAGTTATGGGATCATTAAATTCTTAATTTATGAATTAGATGTTTGTTATTATTATTAATTTTTTTTTTTTTTTTATCAATATGTAACTCTGATTATCTGTAAAAATCTAGGTTGTGGTTGAGAAATCTACAGTGGATGATTTACCACCAGGGTGGATTAAGGAAACAAAAATTAGAAAGAATGCATTTGGAGTGAGAAGAGATCCGGTATGGAGTTTCTTTTTGAACTCTTGCCTTACTTACAGTGCCCCTCTGCTTATCTATCTCATTTGTTGTGTGTGGCTCATGTCTTGATTCCTTTTAGTATGTGTTTATTTTGATCACTGCTTCCTTGCTGCAGTATTACACAGATCCAGTTAGTGGATATGTGTTCCGCTCCAAAAAGGATGTATTCCGCTATCTAGAAACTGGAGAGATTAGTAGACATGCATTTAAACCATCAAAAAGGGATGCTCATGATCTAGAAGCCTTGGTACGTGTGCAGCTATTTTTATAATTTCATATAATGCTTCAGTATTATAATCTTTGCTTCCTTTTGCATACCATATCTCTAATGTCATTAAGCTTGCATAATTACGTTTAGGTCATTTAGGTAACTGCAAGTAGCATTCTGTCATCTATTGAATGCTGGGAGTATTGAGAAACTAGGCTTGGATATTGATAGGAACCCACTCCAATAACTTAACAATGTGGGTTGGGCTATGGGTCTTTCATGGGCTTGGGTAGAACTCTCCTTGGAAAACCGGCTTGCCAAGGGAGGGTGCCCAAGCCTTTATAATCAACATGCCCACTCTTTTCCCTTTCAATGTGGGATTCTAACATTCCACCACGCTTCCGCAACCGACGTCCACGTCGGCCTCTTTATCCCCGTCAGCCTCTTTACCCCTTGGGTGACTACGCGGATCCTCTTTTCCCTCGGGCCTCCATGCCCTTTCTAAGGGTAGCAGCCCGAGCCAAAGGTCAGCCTGCCATGCGTGCGTTGCCACATAGGCGCAGGATTATGCTCTGATAACAATTGATAGGAACCCACTCCAATAACTCAACAATGTGGGCTAGGCCATGGGTCTTTCATGGGTTTGAGTAGAACTCTCCTTGGAAAACCGGCTTGCTAAGGGAGGGTGTTCAAGCCTTTATAACCCACATGCCCACCTTTTTCCCTTTCAATGTGGGATCCTAACAGATATTAGGGTTTATTCCCAGCTATTCATGCATACGATTATAGCACTCATTAAATTATCATGCTGATGTTAGAGGATAGGTTATTATGCTTAATCTACATTAATCAATCAAACTGCTTGGTGGCTGGAAAACTTGGAATTTGGGTTTAGTTGAAATCAGAAAAATTTCCTCTGGACATCCTTAGATTTAAGAAAATGCGACCTTCAATTTGGAATTGTTGGATTCATTACATGGTGAAGATTAATGGAAGAAAATCTCAAAATAGTTGCACTCTGTGAAGTTACTGCAAATACTTCAAAATAATGGGGGATTATTTTGATGTGTGTTTATTCTAATCTTCATTGTGTGATGAATCCAAACCCAAGTTTGAGTATCTATCTATCTATCTATCCATCTATCTATCTATATATGTTCTTGTGTTATTATCACGAAGTGTGTTGGCAATCACCTCCCTCTCCAGGTTAATTGACAACTATCTGCCTATTGATAATGCCAATAGGAGGGTTCAAACACTTGAATATTTTCCGAATTGTCTTAATTATGCCTTGGGCAGCAGGACCTTCTACTGCTTGCTGGTCAATGGTTTAGTTTATGTATTTAAAACCAACCCCCATCTCTGGCAGATGCCTCATCGCAGCGATATTAGCTAATTGTATATAGCAGACCAATACTCATTTCGTTTTAGTTTTCCAGTTTATTTGTGTTAGCAATTTACAGTATAAAAAATCTATTATCTAAACTAAATTTCATGTGCTTTGCCTTCTGTTGATCTTAGCCATCGCCTGCAGCCAAAAGGCAGAAATTGGAGCATCCTGCAACCAGGAGACGGCTTTTTTCAGGTCAGATGTTGAATTATTGCAGTTCTCAAACAATGAGCAATTAATGATGAGGAAAATGACAAACCAAAAGAATTGCTGCTGCAGTTAAGGAGAGTTCTGAAGCATGCAGCTCTGCACTTCCAGAAGTTGAGGCCTTGAAGAAAAGGCAAGGGAATAGGGTTTCTGCTGAAACTGGGCTTGCTGGAGCTGCCACAGCTGAGATTTTCCCAGAGAAAATGGTAACTGAAAAGGGTTCGGAAGCTAAGAAAACCTCTAGTTTTGGCTACTCAGTGCTTTCAAAACCTAAAGTTTCCAAGGGAAATCAAGGCAACATGACTTTTGCTGATAATGGGCCAGTTTCAACTCCTGCTACTGATACTCTGCAAGGAAAGAACTCACTTGAGTGTGGGATAGAATGCGGCAGTGGAATATATCTTAAGAATTCCAACAAATCTGAAGATAAGAAAAAGCTTAACTTGCCTCGTAGGTCTTCAAAACGACTTGCTGGGCATGAACCTGAGCTAGTGGTTGATAATGTCTCCATTGAACGTGTTTGTAAAAAGAAAACTGCAGAATCTTGCAAAAGTGAAGCCATTTCAGCTGCAGATTTGGCTTCCAATGGGTTGGCTGCTGAAGTATCCAAGAAGCTCAATGCTGGCCCTGTAATAGACATGGCAGACTGTGTGTCTTCTGAAGTAGACATTCCATCAAATGAAGAACAATCGCACAAGATCAAACCTTCCAGGAACAAACCTATTCCAGGGCAACAAATGCACAAGATGAAGTCTGCTGAAAGTAATGATGACAAGTCAGAACCACATTTATCCTTCCCCTTTGGTCATTCTTACCTAGATCCATGCTTAGAATTTGCATTTAAGACTCTGACTGGTGAAATACCGGTTGATGGTATACCTGATAACATTCCTGTTTCAACTCCTGCTGCTGATATCCTGCAAGGGAAGAGCTTACAGCAGACTAACATGGAAAAGTGCAGTGCCAGAAAAGTTGACAGTAACTCAATCAAATCCAACTTGCCACGTCGATCTTCGAAAAGACTTGCTGGCTTTGAGCCTGAGTTGGTGCCCGATTTAACATTCAGTGAACGAGCTCTCTTTAATGCAACCAGAAAGTTTAAAGAAAGTGAAGCCCTAATGAATGCAGGTTTGTGTCCAAATGGTCTGGAAGATGGTGCATCTCATTACCCTGATGCTGGACACATAACAACACATGCACACCACAGTCCTGCTGACATGAGCTCTCCATTGCATGAACAATCATCAAGCAAGATCAATAAGCCTCTTGAACTCCAATCTGTTTCTGAAGGGCAACCCCAACAGGTGGATGATGAGAAGCCAGAGCGGCGGCCTCAGCATTTGGAAAATGAGAAGCCAGAGGGGCAGCCTCAGCAGATGGAAAATGAGAAGCCAGAGGGGCAGCCTCAACAGCTTGAAAATAAAAAAATGAATAACGAAAATTCAGAGTCACAGCCTGTGTTTCCATTTGGGGATTCTTGGTCGGATCCCTGCCTGGAATTTGCATTTAAGACACTTACTGGTGCAATCCCTGTAGATGACAATTTGGCAATTCAGGATTACTTCCAGCATCAACTTCACACGTCTCAGACTTGGACAGTCAGTAAACCGGAGCTGCCTGATTTCAGCATATGCAGCTCTTTTCAAGCTGATGTTTCATTCCAGCTTGATGTAGCAGAAAAAAAAACTGCTTCCCAGCAGCAGTTGCCTGTAAATCCTTCATTGCCGCCCTCAGGAAATGTAAGCTTACCAAGTTGCAGCATTGCATCTCAACAACCATGCTTGGAAGGGAACAAGGAAATGCATGGGAAGGTGAAGTCCTAATTTGAGGTGATTATCTTTTTCACTGGATGCTTGCTAATTAAATTGGTAATTAATGTACCCTCTGAAACAATTATCTCTATGGTTTATTTGTTTTCTGTGTCTCTTGTAATTTGGAACTAAACTATAAAGGCCGAAACCAAAAGCAACTGTTCAAGCCTCGATCTTTTGTACGTTTTGTTCAGTAAATGTAGAGGCCAAAAGCTTTAGGAATATTACGAGTGTTATTATCGTTATGTTTCACTCCTCTTCTTGTCAAATGATTGTAGCAGTACTGTGGTACATTGGAGATTACTATCATTTGGTATTAATTTACAAGACAGGGAACATGTGAACCCCTTTTTATGCACATATTATTTCCTTTTTCAAATTATAGTTACCCACTTTGGTGAATTCAGGTTTTGAGATGATTTTCATAAATGATATGAATATTTATTCACGCCACAGGAAGGTTTGAGTTCTTAAACTACTGCAAGATTGATTTAATGCGGTTACATACATTTTGATTCATTCGTAAATTAAAAATGCTCACGTTCACTTTGATTCTGCAAAACAAAACTTACATTTCTAATTTTAATGATAGTGGAGTCATTATTTTAAAAACCGGATCGGAGGGTAACCCGCTCTGATGGTTGAGTCACGGTTCAATTGGTGACATCATCACACATCATGATAACATCAACACATTTTTAAAAAAACTTTTTTTTTTTTTTAAGATTTCTATTTTTTAATAAGATTGTCAAACATGATTCAAAGTTCAAATTCAACAACAATCTTAACATAATTTAAGTATTTAACAACAATTCAAAAATCAAAAGACGATTAATAGCCATTGCAAGAGCAAAATAAAGTTAAATTTGGTTCCCTAGTACGGTTACTGGACCACTAAAATGAAAAATTAAGGAAGTAAAGGCAAAATGGGTTACGCAATATTACCAGGTAGAAAGATTCAATGTTGTTATAAATAGAATTTTCAACTCTAAACAATGAGAAAAACGTGATAAAAAGCATCAGATTCAGATCACTTTAAATTATTCCTGTGCATTTTAAGGTTAGTGTCTGAATCTTGATCAACAAAATGACTCAACAAGTCATAAAAGCATGGCGTGGAAATTTCAACATTATTGATAATTGCAAAGATTTTAAAGATATTAGAAAAAATCTTGGTATTTGAACACGTGGCAATCCAATAGCTCTTTCGGATAATGCACATTATCGTCCAAGTACTGTAGAGTAGCCCTAAAGTGAGTTCTGACTTTTCAACAAGGAGATGAGAACAAATTCAAGTGACAAAGTGATACTAAAACATCCACCTCTACAGGACCAAAAATTTACCACCCAAGGTAAGGCGAAGATAATTTTTCCGCCCGAAATGTTTCAGAAAAATAATTTCCTAAAACATATATATAGGAATATAAATTATTAGTTTGTCCCCTCTCTTCCACTGCCAGCTCCACCTCCAACCTCACTTCCTCTTCCCGATTCCCATACCTACCCACTTTCTCCGTTTCCTTACTCCCATCCCCACACCCACTTCCTCCACTTTTGCTCTCCCGAAGTTGTCGACGGCCTTCCAAGGTTGGATTGTGACCTTGCAAGGCCACTATAGTGGCCATGATGGTGGCCTTACGAGGCCACTGTTGCGGCCACAATGGTTGCCAAGCAAGGCCACCATTACCAATCCCAAGAGCCTATCCACACAAGCCAAACTTCATTTTTTCTCAACCCAATCGATCAGAAACAATCATCAAACAGTCCAAAATCAAAATAAAAAAAAAGCTTTGTTGATTGTTCTTCTCGGTCAAATGGGTTTGACTTGGTTTGGCCGGGTTTGACTTGGTTTGGCCAAGTTTGACCACCACGCACTCCAACCCTACCAATCGTCGTGTTCTTTACAAGTCCCTAAATCCCCTCCTCCAATGCCTCCCCCTCTACCACCACCAAAGCCTTCACCTCCACCTACACCTCCAACACCACCACCAACATTTTATTGACAATTTAGATGATCAGTATCAGAATCGCAACCGACCTAGTGTAATCCGACAGAAATCCTAGCCGCCCTAGTGCAATCCGGCCGAAATCGCACCTGACCAAGTGCGATTCGGCCTTAGTTGCACTCTACGAGGGAGGAAGACGTTATCATCGATTTCAGAGAGTTCAATTGCGATTTGGGTGGGATTTCAGAGAGAAATTTTTGTATAGAACAGAGAAGAAGGTGGGAAATTTTCGCAAAGAATAGAGACGAAGCTGAGAAATTTTCGCAAAGAGCAGAGAAGAAGCTGAGAAATTTTCGTAAGAAAAAGAGAAAGAGAAGAAGATGAGAACAGAGAAGAAGAAGCTGCGATGCGTATTAGGGATTTAGGGGTTTTTAAAATTCAACCGGTTTATCTGTCGGTCTGGTTGGACCGGTGGTTCACTGAATTTATCCGGTTTTGAAACGGTTTAAAGCGGCTCATTACATTATAGTGGTTTTGGTGTTGACTCGAACCGGACACGTGACCGGTTCCCTGTCCAACCGGTTGGATCGGCCGGTCCGGTCCGGTCCGGTTTTTAAAACAGTGAGTGGAGTACAAGTATTGAACCAAAAAATTAGCGACAAAATCAAGTAATGTCATAAACGGAAATGTTTGAATCAAATTGACCACTTATTTCGTTATCAGACTGCAGCATTTGTAGTCTTGAGCAAATTGTGTGTCAATAATAGTTTAGTGGTAGTGTGAATGAAGACTCTCTCCATCCGCCAAAGTTTTCCTCATAACCACGTTCACGGCGTTCCTAAAATATGATGTAATGAGTAAATTCCAAACTGAAATTTAGCAGAGCATGCATCAGGGCTCAATTACAGATGGATTACCTCTGGCTTGAAACCGAGGCCAAGTCGAATCTCTCCATGAAATGTTTTGTCCTTAACAACATTGTATGCTGTTGGTTGAAGGCTTCCTTTCATGAACACTGGCTCCAAAGAAATCCTGCCAATAAGCTATAATTTATTAATTATTTTTCATCAACCACCTCCATTTTAAGATAAGATTGTGGCAAATTTCATATCCTAAAACCTGTTGGTACTCACGTTGCTTCCCTAACAATGTCATCGCAAGTAGCTAAGTCACTGTCCAATATCCTGAGTTTGAGCTCTGTAGTGCCATCAGATATTGTAAATGAAAAATTCTCATTCCACTTTGGTTCTGTTCCTTGTCCTGCCAATTAATATTAATATAAACCCTTTTACCATTCTCTATAATATAATTAAGCTGAACACACGATTTGAATAAGAAAAACGAAGGATTCTTTATTAGTAGAAAGCTTAATTACCTGATGCAACACTGCTTTTCCGCTCGACTTCGGCTAGTTAGGATGACATATGGATCCTTGTTAGCTGCTCATTTCCATTTTAATTATCAAACCTCATTCAATAACAAGTTTTTATTTCATTTTTTTTTCAAACAACACTCAATTATACATTTAAAAAACAAAAATAGATCATGCATTTTTTTTTTTCACCATTGTTATTGTTGTAGATCTTTTAGAAGTGAATTAAATAATAGGAAAATGATAGAGTTACCGAAAAGTTTACACCGAATTTGTGCATCGAATGACGTGGTAAAATCCTGACCGTTGATTAATATTAACTGATAATAAATCAACGGTCAGGATTGTGCCACGTCATTCGGTGCACAAATTCGGTGCACACCCGTCGATAACTGTAGCATTACTCTTAAATAATAACATATGCAGTACATTATGAAATTGATGAGAATGATAGTTTCCGGAATTTGAAAGTAAGAAAAGCAGTGGTTTTTAAAGTTTTCTCTGTATATATCGTTTCAAGTCTAGATTATAAATGTACTAAATTCAAATGGCTAAATAGCATACACCTACCAAAGTTGACTGTAAAGATAAATTGGTATTTAGAAATGGTAAACAGACGCTTCTGTCATATTCTGTTAGAATTCCCACCTGCTAAAGGACAATATAATAATTTCACCTACGCCTACAGAATTTTTAAATTTTAAATCTCTTTTTCCCTATTTCTATTATCTTCTCTCTCTTTCTCTCTCCCTCTCTTTCACTTCCTTCTCTCTTTTTCGTCTCTCATTTCTTCGATCTCTTTTGTTTCCCTTTTTCTTCTTCTCTCTTGAATTAAACCAAAAAAAAAAAAAATATATATATATATATTCAGTGGATCAAAGTCATAAAAAACTAAAAAAGATATCACAGCTATCGGAAACAAATTCCGCGGCTGCGATCTTTGCTTTGGAACAGAAAGAAGCTATCACGCTCTAGATCCGCCGCAACTTAGGGTGTCTGCCTTGATCTGAGCTAGATCGTGGCGGTTCAAGGCCAGATCGGGTGAGATCACAAAGTAATCGCATTCTTCCGCCACGATGTGGCCGATTCCGGCAGCCACTTAATTTTTTTCTTCACTTCCTCCTCACATGGCGGCCAACCAGTAGTTGGTTTTTTGTTGTTGTTGTTGTTGTTGTGGGTCTGGAGATAAAGAAATAAAAGAGAACCCATTGTTGGGTTGGAGAAAGACGGAAGGGAAAGAACGGTTGGAATTGCTTTACTGTGAGAATAGGATTTTGATTCTTTGTTATGTAGGTTGGACTTTGAATTTCATGGATTGAAATTTAAAGTCTGGGATCTTGTTTTCTCTTAATTTTAGATTAAACCTAGATGTTGTTGGTGTTTTGTTTTCTACATGTACTTCTTAAATGTCATCTTCATTATACTCAACAAGAAGGTCTACAATTATTTCCCATATCCATAGTATGTCATCCTCATAGATAACGTAATTGTTAAAGTATGTATTTCTCTATTCTAATTGTTTTTAGTTTAAATGATAATATATGTTAATCACCACTTTCTCTGTGTGGCTAGCTTTATCTTCATTGCTCTGGAAAAGAAACAACTAAATTTTGTGTGTTTTGATTAATGTGCTCTATTTGCGTGGTGTTTGGGGGTGTTGTCCATGTTTTTAACTTGCAAGCCAAATCTAAGGTGGTATTTTATATTGGTGGTAGACTGTAATTACCCTAATGGTATTTCCTCTCCCCGTCAGGATGTGGTAGAGGGAGGTCATGGATTTATTCCCACTTGGGTACATGAATCTTACTTACCAAGCCTTAAGAATAATGGCAGTATTTCCATTATCCTGCAGGAAACTCAAGATGCAGAGATTAAGATGCTCAGGAAGAGTTTGACCTTTAAAGCAACTCGCATCCCGAGTTTCTACCAAGAGCTTCCTCCTCCTACAGTGGAGTTAAAGAAGGTAAGTTTGTACTTTTGTCAAAGATGTAACCAAATGAAAACTAATTTTCTTCTCTGAATTTTAGTATGATGGCACTCGTATGGAGAATGCTTTACGAACTATGTAACTTCTAACAATTCATTGGTTCAAGTTGGGATATCATTAAGTGTGAATCTGATGTCATTGTCATTGTCCCCTGCATGGATTGATTAAATTTTATTAATAACTGTATAATTCTATAGTAGGATATTAGGATTGTAATTAATATATATTAAGAACAAAATCTGTAAAATAGGAAGTTAGATTATTCATTTCCTAGATTAGATTATTTGTTTCCTAGATTAGTTCTTTGTTTTCTTATATATTGATGTATTATTTTCTGATCATATACAAGAAATATAAAAACACACTATTAGTTCTCTCAGATTTTCTACATGGTATCAGAGCTAGGTTGTCAAAATTTTAAAATTTTTTTTTCCAGTGAAGTTTTCCAGCGACAATTAAGTGTCTCTCTCTGGTGGTCAGAACCTCCATCTGACCATACACATCTCATTGTCTCCATCTCGCCGGCAAAACCCCACAAAAATCGATGTCAAGGGCCGTCGCACGCGCCTCCACACGCGGTGTTTCTTTTCGCCAGATCCAACTCTGATCTCCTTTTCCGACAAGAATCAGTTCTCACCGCTGGCACCAGCTTGCTCAGAAGACGGCGGTGAGCAAAACCCGCTAAGGTTCTATTACCTTCGACGTCAAACTCCAATAGCTTCACTGGATTCTGCCGGTGTCCTCGTTGGATATTCTGCTTAGATCTGTTTGTTTGCTTCGTGTTACCTCTGATTCTGGTTTTCGGTCAGATTTGCTAGTTATCACGGTTACTTCCAACTCAAACTCCACTTCTGGTGGTTTTTCTTTCTTGTCTCTCCCACTAATCACCACTGATAAGTTGATTGGGAGTGCAAATTATTCTTCTTTAGCTGCCTCTGTCGAGTTATGGTGTACGGGTCAATGTCTAGAGGATCACTTGACCACAAAGGTTGCCGACTTCACATTAGATAAGTCTTCCTCGATCAAAACTGATGCTTTATTATGTAATCTATTATGGCAATCAATTGACACTAATCTGCATCCCATTTACAAAATATACCGCACATGTTGTGAGATATAGAGTCGGGTTAAACTACTGTATACCAATGATATTCAACGCTTGTATTACGTTGTGTCCAATCTCATGCATCTAAAACAACAGGATATGAGTATGTTAGATTTTCTTGGTAAAATGGCCTCCCTCAAGGTAGAGTACAATCTTTTCCTACTTGCTAGTAAAACTGCTGTAGAAGATCTAGCACAACGAGATAAATTCTTCATGATTCTAACCCTTGCTGCTATTAGTCCTGATCTCACTCTTGTATGAGATCAAATTTTAGCTAGCGCGACTGTGCCATCTCTTGATGAAGTATTTGCTAGGTTACTTCGAGTTTCATCCCTAAGTACTGTCCCCAGTTTTACTATTGTTAACTTTTCTACTCTGGCTTTTCAGTCTCAAACTACTTATAGAGGAGAACAGGGAGATCGTGGTCAAAGCGGATGACCCAAGTGTAGTTACTGTCATTGTTGGGGCCATACCAGGGAAAAATGTTACAAATTATATGGTCGCCCTACTCAGACGACTAATGTTGCTCAGGCTGACATTCGTCCTGACTCTTCTGATGGACACACTCAACCATCATTAACTCTCACTGGGGTTGATTATGAAGAATACCTCCAGTTTTAGGAAAATAAGCAGTCTTCTCCATCTATTGCCTTTATCGCTCAATCGGGTAATTCAGTGGCATGCCTTACTCAGTCTTTTCTCTTGGACCTTGGGTTCTTGACTCAGGTGCCTCTGACTACATTTTTTGTAACCCTTACTTACTTTCTCATTTAACTAATGTTACATCTTTACCATCCGTTACTTTAGCTAATGGTTCTAAAGCTGTAGGTCATGCCAAACCACTTCCATCCTTAGAATTAGACTCTGTTCTCTATATTCCCAATTGTCTATTTAATCTTGTCTATGTCAGTAAACTTAACTGCTTTTTAAATTGTTCTATATCGTTTGATACTGAATCTATTGTTATACAGGATCGAGGCACAGGACAGATAATTGGCATAGGACATGAGTCATAGGGCCTCTATCTTCTCCATCTACCATCTATAGCCTGCACTGTCACTGAATCTCCAACACTCCTTCATAATCGTTTGGGTCATCGCAGTGTAGTAAAGCTTAAAAAGATGCATCCTGGTCTAACTAATTTATCGTCTTTAAATTGATAGTCACGTTAGCTTAGAATATATTCTCGTAGCACCTTTCCAAAGCGTGTTAATAAACGGGTTGTGTCCCCTTTTGAGTTAGTTCATTTAGATGGATGAGGACCTTGTCGTGTGTCATCTGTTTTAGGTTTTTAGTACTTTGTTACCTTTACTGATGATTACTCACACTGTACTTGGTTATTCCTTATGAAAACTTGTTCCGAGTTATTTTCCATTTTTGAATCTTTTTGTGCAGAAATTAAGACTCAATTTAATTTTGTTATTCGAGTATTACGCAGTGATAATGCTCGCGAGTATTTCTCTGATCCCTTTACTAAATTCATGTCTTCTCAGGGAATTCTTCTTCAGTCCTCGTGTGCTTATACACCACAACAAAATGGGGTTGTTGAGCGTAAAAACAGACATCTCATTGAAACTGCCCGTACCCTACTTTTACATAATAAAGTCCATTTTCGTTTTGGGTGGAAGCTGTTTTGACCGCCTGTTTCTTAATCAATTGGATGCCCTTTTATGTCCTCAGTGACAAGGTACCTCATTCCATTTTATTTCCTGATCAATCGTTGTATCCAATCCTTCCTCGTGTCTTTGGGTGCACATGCTTTGTCCATGTTTTCCCTCCTGGTCAGGACAAACTGGCAGCTAAATCTACTAAGTGTATTTTCTTAGGGTATTCACGTCTTTAGAAAGGATATAAGTGTTATTATCCATCAACACATCGCTATTTTCTCTCTGCTGATGTTACGTTTTTTGAGTCGTCTCCATTCTTTTCTTCATCTACCTTAGATTATGAGTCAATAACCACGGTCCTTCCCATATCGTCCATTACCAATCTTCTTGAGTCTGTAATAGCCCCACAGTCTTTTACTACCGAGTCTCCCATCACAGACCATAGTCTTGTTCCATTTACAGGTACTACTCTTGATCCGTTAGTGTCCCTAAGGCTCCTATCGATGGCAATCCTACTCTGATTCCTCCAATTCTACGGTCTTCTCTCCTGATGATCAGTTTCCCATTGCCATTTGTAAAGGTATGTGGTCTACTTGTAACCCTTATTTGATGTATAATTTTTTAAGTTATCATCGTTTATCTTCATCATATTATGCATTTGTGTCCACACTTTCTTCTGCTTCTGTCCCTTCAAATGTTCATGAGGCACTCTTTGATCTCGGATGGTGTCAGGCAATGGTTGATGAGATGACTACTTTGCATCATAATCACACATAGGAGTTAGTTCCATTACCTCCATGACATTTGATTGTTGGGTGTTGCTGGATTTATACAGTCAAGTTGGTCCTGATGGTCAGGTTGATCGCTTAAAAGCCCGGTTAGTTGCCAAGGGCTACACTGAGATACATGGGATGGATTATTTTGATACTTTTTCCCCAGTTGCTAAGATGTCTTCTATCCGCTTATTCTTAGCAATGGCTACTATTCAACATTGGCCTCTGCATCAATTGGATATTAAGAATAACTTTCTTCATGGTGAACTTCAGGAAGATATTTATATGGAGCAACCTCCTGGGTTTGTTGCTCATGGGGAGTTTTCCTTGGTATGCAAACTTCGTCATTCTCTGTATGGGTTGAAACAGTCTCCTCATGCCTGGTTTGGACAATTCAGTATTGTTATCCAAGAGTTTGGTATGCTTCGGTGTGAGTTTGATCATTCTGTCTTTTATAGACATACAGCACCAGGGCAATGTATCTATCTGGTTGTCTATGTTGATGATATTGTCATTACAGGGAGTGATCAAGATGGTATTGAACAATTGAAGATGCATTTATTCAGACATTTTCAAACTAAAGATTTAGGACTTCTTAATTGCTTCCTTGGTATAGAAGTTGCTTAGTCCAAATCTGGTATTGTTATCTCTCAGAGAAAGTATGCACTAGATGTTAGATTGTAGACCAATAGACTTTCCTATGGATCCTAATTTAAAACTCTCATCTGGACAGGGAGCCGCTGGCTGATCCTAGAAGATATCAAAGACTAGTTGGTAAATTTAATTATCTCACTATCACACAACTTGATATTTCCTTTTTTTGTGAGTGTTGTAAGTCAGTTCCTACAATCTCCATGTGATAGTCATTGGGATGCAGTTGTTCGGATTTTAAGGTATATAAAAGGTGCACCAGGAAAAGGTTTGTTATATGAGAACAAGCCTTTGCTTGATTGGGCAGGGGTAATTCACACATTGTTAGATATTATGATGCTGATTGGGTAGGGTCTCCATCTGATAGATGTTCTACTTCGGGTTTTTGTATTCTTATTGGAGGAACCTAGTGTCTTGGAAAAGTAAAAAGCAAGCTGTTGTTGCCCGATCAAGCGCAAAAGCTAAATATCGTGCAATGTCCTTAGCTACTTGTGAGCTCATTTGGTTAAAGCAACTGATCCAAGAGTTGAAATTTGCAGAAGTGTCACAAATGAAGTTACTCTGTGATAATCAAACTGCTTTCCATATTGCCTCTAACCCAGTATTTCATGAGAGGACTAAGCACATAGAAATTGATTGTCATTTTATTCGGGAAAAAATTCTATTTGGATGTATTACCACTAGTCATGTCAGTTCCAACGACCAGTTAGTAGACATCCTCACTAAATCTCTCGGGGGAGGGGGGGGGGGGGGGTGCATTGATTTGATCTATAGCAAGCTTGGTGCATATGACTTATATGCTCCAGCTTGAGGGGGAGTGTTGAAGTGTATAATTCTATATTAGGATATTAGGATTGTAATCAATATATATTAAGAACAAAATTTGTAAAGTAGGAAGTTAGATTATTTATTTCCTTAATTAGATTATTTGTTTCCTAGATTAGTTCTTTGTTTTCCTATATATTGATGTATTATTTTCTGATCATATACAAGAAATATAAAAACAAACTATTAGTTCTCTCTGATTTTGAGTATGATCATTATTAGATAATTTTGTCCTCACACCAATTTGGTTTATCTACTCCTGAATGTTGATAGTTGTTCAAACAAGATCTAAATCATATAAAGGCATATTAATTGAAAGATTTGAAAATTTATTCGCTACATAAAAGTGTTTTATGGTGGTTGTAGGTTCAAGTGGCACAAACATGCTTTTTAGTATGGTGGTAGTTAGTTTGCATTTTGCTATGTTATAGCTTTTGAAGTTATCTCTGATGATCCCAGCTCATTAGTGTGCAGCTGAGCATGTTTATTTCTCTTCGTTTGGTTAGGAAATCTAATTTCTATTTCTTGAAACAAGAAAATTTTGTGAGTTGGGGACGAAATGGAAGTAGTGTTTAATTTATTAAAAGTCCTGGAATTTTTCATTTTTCATTTTATTTTACTAAGCATTGGCCAAAGATTTAGCATAGAATATCAGAAAATGTATGAAAGATGTGCATTTATAGATAGAAACTAGAGAAACAAGGACTAAGGAGTTGGGTGGTTACTTTGGGGGCTAAGTTTCAGTGGTTGTATTTACATTTCACTGTTGGGTTATGTTTATTTTTATTGGGATTTAAGAAGTAGCACCCTCTCACTCTTGATGAGAAATACTTGATCGTTTAATCCTTTATTTTCCTTTGCCTGTGCTTTGCACTTCACCCATCTCAAATTATTCCTTTTCCTGATAAATGAATTTACTTTTAGGTTCTTGAATGAAGCCCAACCTTCATCTCCAAATTATTTTGTCTCAACTTTTGTATATATATTCAGGAAATGTATCTTGATTACATGTTTGGTTCCCTAACCTAATATTGTCACAGTTCATGCTCAATTTATTCTTGATCTGATGATTTTGAGTTCAGTACAATTGATTGTTTTTATTTCCAATCACCCTCTTTGACCGTTCCAGTTGTGTAGCGGAATTGATTTGCCAGTTTACTAGTTATGGGTAGTGAAAATCTGAGGATTATACTGTTTTATTTAGGCTTTTTGGCCGGATTTTGGATGCTTCTTAGTTTGTTTGTGCCTGAATTGCTACTTAACTCCACATATTTTATGTTTCAGGCCAAAATGTGTACTTTGAGCAAATAATGAGCGGATTGGAGTTTCTGGACCCAGAAGCAAGCAAATCTCAGAATTCGGGGAAGTTCTGAAGTGGATTTGAAGCACTATGAAGCTTGTTCTCATGGGAAAGCATCGAAGATTGAAGATTCAAGCAAAGAAGCAAGCGGAGGGCAATTATGTAAAATTCAGAATTGTTCAGGAAGGTTCTCCGCGACGAAGTCTGCGAATTCCAGTTTTCTTCAAAACGCACAGTTTTATTTTAGGAAAGTTTTTAGGTTTTTGGGTCGACTATATAAGAAAAACTTGCCATTTTGAGCCAGGTCGTCTAGGTTCGTCTTTGTTGAGTGGAGCTTTGACATTTTGGGAGAAAAGGAGAGAAGATTTGAGATTTAACCTTATGGATTCATCAATTAGGGGAGATCTTTTATCTCTTTTCTTTGTTTCAATATGTTGACTGTTGTGTTTACTGTTTTTCTTGCTATTTGTGTTAATTTCGTTATGAACTAACTCACTTTGGATTAGGGTTTTGATGTAATTCGGATTTCTATGGTTAATCAATAGATTATTATTGCTTTTACATTCTATTGTATGGATTGTGTGATTATTCTGATTTTTATTAATTTTATTTGTTGAACATGATGAGATTGAGAAATGAATCATGTTGGACTTCTTGGGTAATCACCATTGTTGTATTGAACGCTAGAGATAGGTTTGAGAATCAATGAAATCAATCTAGGATTCCATTAGCTGAATGAACTTGGATATATTAATCTTCATTTTGTTGGGTGCGGAAGCTTAATAGGGAAAAGTA